GCTCAAGAATATTTTGTACCAATGGATACTTGTGAATAAAGCCGCGTATCAATACATGGAAAATTTTCTCTATAAATCAACCTAGCTCTTTCGAACAAAAAGTTGTTCTCGTGAACAATCAGAATAATTATTTCTTCAACAAGATGCAAATTTGACGATTACCTCCTTGATGATGAATGTTTCAGCGGCTTGTTTATCTTCGGGTGTGAGCAAATCGTTAATAACTGAATCGAGTAAAGCCGACACTCGAATTAATGCCATTTCTTTACCGTCGCGAATCATGTATTTATTGAATGAGTCGAGAAGCAAATCTTTGATCTCGTTGTCGAGTACATCGGCGGATTGGTAGTTAAGATAATGTAAGAGGCTGAACACAATTGCATAGGTCAACGATAGAGTTGGATACTTTTGTCCAGATAAAACTTTGATTGCCTCGTCGAATCGTTCTAAGACACGTCGCAGAGACTGAATCATATTATAATCCGCTCCTGACAATTTTGCATCGAAAAGTTTATTTCGTTGTTTGTCCGTGATGCCAGGTAACGAATCGAGCTGATCATATAGCTTGTCGAGCACACTTTGATAGAGCAATAATCTCTGAAGCATCTTATAGGAAGAGTTCCAACGAATGCGCATGTCAATAATAAGACCGGCCTTTATCGACGAATCAATGGCGAGAGTATGAACGGTCTCGTAAAGAATACTGGACTTTCGAATAGTTGTAATGATTGTTCGGCATTTCTCCATTAGAATACCGATGTCGTGCATCTGCAATGGCGATGAAAAATCTGCTGTGTCATCGTCATTGTCTGATGACGATGATGCTGATGAGTCATCATCTCGATCGAATTGTTCGTCGTCGTCGTCTTCTCCATCACTGCTTCGATCTGACTCCGCTTGTTCATCATTTTGATCACTTGCGATCTCATCATCTGAAGCATCATCGTCTGCAAAGTCGATTGATTCGCTACAAAAATAGACAAAATAAAGGAAATATCATTTGAAACTGAAGAACGAAAACTAACTTGTTTTCATCGGAAACATTTTGAGTTCCGGTTGTTGATTTTGTCTTTTTTGGCCAAAGATGTAAACCTTTGTGAATTGTGAGGTTTAACGCGTGAGCTAAACAATGAAATCGAACACCAAAGAAACGGATCTGTCCCGTAGCTGCTTTTATGTTTGATCCATTATCTGTTGTTGATGCTGTGATTTTGTTGAGCAAATCATATTGAGCAATAATTCGTTTCATATGAAGACGAATGCGAATTGCAAGATGGCGCCCTTTGAATTTACGAAAGCTGAGCACCTTTCCTTTGAGATGGAAATTGGAATCGAGCCAATGAACTGTCATACACAAGTAATGACGACGCCTTGCATTTTGCCACAAATCAGCCGTAATCGATACATTTGGCACTTTCGCCAGTTCGATTTTGAAATCTTCTTGCTTCTGGAAATACAGTTTGGCTAACATCCGTTGAACTGTCCTACTCGACGGACCGGTGTAACCGGGCACAGCCACAGATAAAAAATTAGCCATTCCAGATCGTTTGAAATCACCCCACGGCCGGGCATCTGAGATAGTGCAGTTGATGGCCGCTTGGTCCAACTGTCGTTTCTTTTCCGTCGGAATTGTCATGCGTGGCAACCAATGACTTTTGGAAGACAGTTGCATCTTTCCGTGACTCAATGCAAGGTGTCGTCGTATGTTGCTGTTTGTGTCAATGCTGCAGCGCACAACCTTTAGAAAAAAAGAAACAAAAATATCAATCTGTCTTTGTTTGAACATAAGAAAACGAAAACGACTTGGATAGGAATAAATCTCGATTAAACTTGTTATTCTCAAGTCATCTAACTATCGAATGGAAGGTGTTTTATTATTCACATAAGAAGAATTGTACCTTCGAGCACAATCTGCATTGATATTCGTTTGGCGATAATTTCGTTGCATATTCGTGAACAGCTGAAACTCGTCGAGGAACCATGTGCGCAATTGTTTCAGATTCCATTTGTTCATCATCGCTGATATCACTTGATGATCGAGTATGATTGTCGACATTTTCTTTGTCTCCAACCGCCACCATTGTCACTTGGCGTGTGCTTATACCACGAGATTTTCCTTTTCACTGAATAGTACTCGACGAAGAAACCTTAACCGTAGTCGAGTCTGTTTTTTTTTGATTTGAACATTCGTTGAATTCGCAGTTTTGGATAACGGCGTTTTGCCCATTGTTCGAATTCAGCCACGAATGTGTACAGTATCGCACCAACCGCAAGTAAATGGGCAAAGAGACGACGCAGTCGATCTATCTGCGAGAGGGAGAGAATCGAAAATGTCTAGTGAAAACGATGGACACAGCGTTATATATGAATACTAAACGACGTTTAGTTCACTGTCTTATATATTTTTTCGTTCTGTATCTTCTAAGGTTATCTTGGACGAGAAAGCAATTGAAAAAATGAGAAATTCAAATGTTTTCAAAATTTTTCTCTGCATGCATCATAACTAGTAAATCTAACCAGCTAGTGACACGTTTATGTTTTTATTCTTGAAAATGAACTTTTAAAGTTCGAAAGGTTGAAAATTTTTCGTTTTAATTTAATTATATATATTTCAAT